TTCCTAAACTCATGTTAAAATGACATTTTTATGTAATGCTAGAGTAAAACACTAACCTTCACTTTCAGAAATTGTTATAGGGGTGCTTTCTTATTAGAATCAGAATCAAAATTAGCTTTATTCACCACTTAAATGTGTGCAAACACAAGGGATTTGTTGTGGTTTTACAGGAGCTCTTGATACATATATACATACAAATAACCATATATACACTGAACAAAATTATAAACGCAACACTTGTTTTTGCCCCCATTACATTTTAAGCATTATCGTATCGCATATTGCATTTTTTTTCAATATCGCACAGCCCTAGTAAGAGCAGTGAGTGATTTTCTCTATGTCTTTTGTTCATGGCCCCAAATATTGCAAGCCGTAGCGATATACATATTGCGATATGTACATTTGCGATATTTTGATCATTTCGATATATTGCACAGCCCTAATAAGTAGTATTTGGTTTCTCTTTTAACACCTATGTCCTACATTATCCGCTGGAACGCCACTCTCTCGCGCATACGACAGTTAGCGGAAGCTAGGTATTACGGTTTATAAAGTTTTAAATATTGATATTTGTCTTACACAAATGCATCAATTGACTTCAGAAGGCCTTTATTATAAGCAGCAGGTAAGTATCGATAAATATAGGCTTACAAACTGCGTCTCTGTTTCCACAGCTGCTAAGGAGACTCTGGTCTTCTGCCCAGCACTCCATTATAAATTGAATGGCTCGCTAACCGGCTATCAATGACCCTGCTATGGATCAATATGGAACAGACAAGCACTCACCAGCCAAAGCAGAAGAGGGCCAAATAGAAGCCCAGCAGGGTGGCGACTACATGCCGGATGAAGGGACTCGTCTTGCTAGGGTGCAGGTAGAGTCTGAACCAGAAGGCCGTGACCAGGGCGAAGAGCTGGCATACCACAAAGTTCACCTAATGAGAGAGACAGGAGGTTAATTTTACACTGATCAAGAGGAAAGGTCAACAATTAGTTAAACTCAACTTAAGAACCAAATAAATTAGAAAGGTTCAAAATCAAAACTAATCTCCATGTAATCTTCAAATGTAAGTCTTCCAGTACATCAGCATTAAGGCTTTAACACTGAATGTAAACTGCTGACATTAACAGAAGATAACGGCATTTTGCGATGAGGATAAAGTAGAGGATGAGAAGAGAAAATTGACTGCCATTCAAAAGTTGCTGTGTGTACTCTGATTAAATTCATTTTTATACACTATATAACATAAAAGCACTTTTGAAATCCCATGCGTATTTCCCCTCAGCATTTGCGAGGCACCATTTCCATTGAAATCGATGGTTTCAAAGAATTCTCTGATGCTACAGAAACTTGTTAGGGTTTTTTTCACAAGGAAGTGAAAATCATTTAAATTATTATAAAATTTAGTATTATCACACATTTTTTTATTTATTTAAATAAGTACAGGTCAGAATAAGTATATTGTATCATTTTTACAAAAATATACCCATTACGCTGGATGACCATGGTTTGTTACTCTGAATGACGTTTTGCCAAAGAGGGAAATAATATTGTCATTGTGCCCATAATTGCAATGTTTTAGTATTAGTCTGTATCATTAAATTAGTTTTAATAATATTCCTGAGTAAATGACGGCAGAAATAGATGCTGAAAAGTAATAAGCATTTTATTCTACTGTTCTGAAGATCTGTGCCATGCTTGCTTAGCTTGTCACTTTATTTCGGACATGCTCGGCCCCAAAAATTGCTGCTTGAAGGTAATACTTTGTTTGCCAACATACCGTAAATGACAATTATCAGGATGAGTATTTTGGGTGGAGAATCCCCTCAATGGCCTCTACTGAACTTGTGACATTCTGTAGAGAGGATACTCTCTGTTCAGAAATATTGGTAAGCTATTATTCTCTATCATTATAGTTATCTTTATAGTTATTGTTCTTGGTGTGAACGGGTTTTAAGAGCATTTACTTTATTAGTTTTTTGGCTTTTTACAGTGCTTAGCAGCTCTTTCTGTTCGTGGGCATCTAAAATCAATCAATAACACAAACTAAACAATACAAAAATGCATTCAAATATTAATATTTATTAGGTTTAACACATATTTGTCAGTGCTAAATATTCCTAATTTATCTGTAATATAAATAAGATGCTAAAATTGTTATTTATACAGTGATACTGTCATTCAGTGTAATGGATGACACTGTGATGTAACAGAGAATTTGCATTACACTGCATGACAAAAGCATTACCCTGAATGACAAAACTTCTACTTTAGCTTATATTGCAGGCAATCAACTGGCCACCTATTTCAAACACTGAGCTTGACTAGTAAAGCTGATCACAATTATTCACAGCATCTACTTATTTTTCCAAAAATCTAACAATAAAAGTGTTTTTTGGCATTTCACTGAATGGCATGTGTTTTTGTAACTTCGGATGCCACACCATGAAAAGGTGAAATTATGAAATATTTAAGAGCAATAAACTCACTTTTTTCACCACACGGTCTTTCAGGAGCCATTTGATGATATCACAGACTGTCGAATGACTGTCAGTTTTTTTATATGATTTGAGAATGGCTTCTTGTTCATGTTACACTGAATGATTTCTGATAAACTGCATTTTCGGGACAAAAGTCCCCTGGTTATTTAAATACTTAAAAAAAAATTACTGATAAGACAGTCCTTTTAAAGGGGTCATATGATGCGATTTCAATTTTTCCTTTCTCTTTGGAGTGTTACAAGCTCTTGGTGCATAAAGAAGATCTTTCAAACGCGAGTTTTGAGCAGTGTTAGAGTAGCGTTTGTAGTTTGTCATTTCTTCGATCACAAATGCAGACATCGTTTTATGTTTACGCGGCGCGATGCAATGCAACGCGTAAAAAGACATTATAAGTCATT